TGAGCTATTGATGGATAGACGGTCTCCGCACTTGACCGATGATTATCGATTACGCAACGTGGACCGTCAGCAATCACGCAAAGATGAGCGCGATTCGGACTTAACCATGGGCGCTCCACCTCGCAAACGTGCCTTTATCGTGACCCCAACTGATGTAGAGCCATCGATCCTCAATCCGGATATGCGACGTGCTCGTGCACGTCATCGTAGCCGTGGTCCGGGTGGTACTGGAGCTCCGATCGATCGGTCGGAACCTTTCGAATCAGACGCGGGTAGTTTCGCTGCGGAGCAGCGCCTACGGGAATTACGCGAGCGTCTCAATCTAGTGGACGATAGAATAGCGGAAATCAAAGCTGGTTCAGCTCGGTGAGAGAAGCTGATTGAATAAAGACTATCCGGGCGATGCAACTCAATTTGTTGTCGTTATTTCAGATTTTCTTCTCGGTATCTGTATTATACACCCAGTCTATCATCCAACCAGCTTCATTTTCTTGCTGTTTTCAATACTTCACCCGTCAAAGAGATACGCGATTTTTTGATTAAGTGGCTATGGCCGAGGTTGATAAATCACTGAGAAACACGGTTGGTTAACAAGCTTCGATGTGGGCACTGAATCAATTGATCCATTACGGCACGTTTAATCTTCGATCAATATGCGGAAAGTTGTCACATTAGGATGACCCAAAGCAGTCACTTTTATTTATATATATCCGGTTGTTTACATTAGTATCCTGGGTTTTACTACCAAATTCGTGAGTGTCTAGTTTCTGTACTGGTTTCAGAATCACTCAGTTTTTTATTTGAATACTAGGGGTAAACCTCGAAGTCACAATATACCCGCTTTTCACTCACCGGTAACCGAAGCCAATCCAAGTTCCAGCGAACCACATACTAGGTTATGCACGGTATTGGACATGGCCATAGTGAAACCGCCGGTCCTCTGAAGTTGGTTGGCAGTGGCAGCGTTCGAACCTCGAGTCTTGGGAAACAGCACTCGGATAGCGGCTACTTAAATCGCTTGACCACCAGACCCCGCTCATGCATCGACTGTGTTTGTTTCAGTTATGATTGACCTATCAGTCCATGACTCCAATGAGGTTTAACAGACTTGATCATTCGGTATCCCTACGAACATGGATTGAATGATCAATCAGACGTCCGTTAGTTTTTCGGATTTCCAGTCCGCTGTTCAATCTACTTGTCCATTGAAACTCAGACAATAAGTTGGCTTCCAAGCTTGACCTTCTTGGTTGCGGTTGTTAACGGGTTACTAACGTTGTTAAGTATACAACTCCGTTAGTAGCAGGCTGTCAGTGATGATTTTGTGTGTGTGGTGCTTGTTATAATTTCCAGAGGCGGTGCTCAGTCGAGGACAGTTGTTTACTGTAGATTACAGTTGGGACATCACTAATTTGGCATACATAACGGAGAAATATCATCTGAAACATACAGTCGCAGTTCCTGGCAGCACACCCGGTAATGAATGTAGCAATCAGTAGTTATTCTTTGAGACCCAGCAATTTGCCCTGGGTGGTCTTGTTAATTTTTGGTTGTCGAAAGAAATCGCCAACTATTTTGCATACTTCTCACAAATGTGATAAGCAACTCACGACATTGCTCATATGGTTTTCCCGGCCACTTGAACGCCTTTATCTGTTTACATTCCCAATGGTAAGTGAACTGTTAATTATTTGGTTCAATACTACGCCTAACCTAGCGGCGGGGCCTTATGTGGTTCACCACTTCAAGTCCCGGGGAATAGGTTACCGGTTTCCATCGCTGAACGACAGGTCCTCGTGACAATGGGGTTTAACCCGTCTGCTGTTCATCACACTGTGTAATAAAAAAAAGCGATACAGAGCACGTGACTACATGCTTTGCACTAGTTTTGCAACGCGACGTAACGGTTTATCCAAACAAATCGGCCCGGTTTTGCAAATTAGATGTTTCCTGGGTACCATTATGATACGCAAGCCCAACGAGCGGTAAGAACCGCGAAATCAGTTGTTTCCAGGGAAATATTACCGAGTCATTCATGATATAATAGTTTTCGTGATCACGATATCGGCCCGTGGTTTTTTCATGGTCGGAATATTGCCGGTTGCACAAACGAGTGCCTATGGACTTACACGTATTCATAGTACGGTTGTCCGAAAATGTGAACCGTACATCCGATTGCAGAACGGTGTATAAGCAGTTGGATCCTATACCCTTCAGGCGAAGTTCCCACATCAAGAACTTTCGAGACACACGACTGTAACAGTGAACATCGCGACCAGGTTGTTCTACCTTCAGTTCATGCACCCTCGGAAGTTTGGCTCAACATAGCTTCTTTGGCCCTACATGTTCCTTTCTCTCATTTTGGTGAAAACACTCGAAAAGAGGGCAGTGCGTAAGACTTCCCTGGTACATGCTTTGAGAGGTGTATTGCTTGAGGGTAAAAGGTGCCTTAACAGTTGACCACGGCGCTGCTGAGGTTGATTTGCAGACTGAATCCTGTTTGCCTCGTAACTATGCTGTTTAAATTTCCACTTAGGGATTTCGAATTCGCATCGTTTGCATCGTCATTACTCTTAACTGTGTGTAGCGATTCCATGCCAAAAGATGCCGGCGCATCAACAAATGTAGGCCTGGGTGGTGGTAATGCAGTGATTTAGTCGGTGTCACAGACGGGCTTTGGATCCTATGGTCCGAGGTTCTAGCCCTGCCACCGCCACCCAACTTTGGTGGTAGGCAGCTTTGCTGTCGCCCGATTCTATACCATACCTGACTTAGTGGGGTCTTATGTGGTTTGGCACTTTAAGTCCCGGGGCTTACTTTACTAAACAGCAGGTTCTCGTGACTATGGGCTTTCTCCGTCTGCTGCTTATCGCACGAAAGCGTGTAACAAAAAAGCTTACTTTTTGATCTCCCCTGGACCATGTCCATTTTGATTGCCTTGTTTTTAGCGAAGAGAAACAAATTCAGCGAAACGTTTCTGAGTTAAACAAGTCATGTCAAGCTTATATCGCATTTTATTCGTCCCTTGTCTGAAGGATTTTCATAGAAAAAAAAACCAAAACGTCAGCTTCGTCTGGCATGCAAGTAAAAAGGATTCGGTGAAGCGATATTCTCTAAAAGGACAGTGTTGATGAAGACCCAAGTCAAGTCCAGAACGCTTTTTGTGGACAGAATTATCAGTGAAAAGAATTCAGCTATTTTGCTTTGATATGATATTCAGTAAATAGGCAATGATAATGAAGAGCGAGAACACATAGCAAAAGTAGAAGCTGCAGCATGAATTACATGCGATGACTTCTCAGTTCATTTGACAGTCGTTTCCCGGGAGACCATAAACCGAGAGTGATCAGATGCTACACAATTGTGAAAGCTGTACTGCGAGTGTATAAAAGTTTGAATCTATTGCCGGTGATGGAAGTAAAGGTGGAGTATAACGAGGTTGTTTGGTTGTAGATGATTTGAAGCATCAGACAAGATTCAGTCACACAGCCGGTCTCATGCCTTAAGGTGTTGGTTGACGACGAATTCGACCAGCATCACATAAGAGACAACTCCATACCTATGAATGCTATTCAGAGAGCATCTGATCAGCATGAAACCTTAAACAACAAACTTGGGGAGATAACGGTCCGCTGAGATAAAATGAATAGGAGAATTACACACAACGGCCCCTTTGTTTGTCGATGGTTTGAGATGTTAAGTGTCAACTTTATGAATTGAAAAAATGTCTGTTGCACGTGGTAGGACCATTTAAGGTCAGAAGAGAGAAAGCATCCAAGGTATTTGAGGTTCCATGACCTTTCAGTGTTTGAGTTGTTACTCAAGATATTGGAA